GGATCACACTAAAGTGCTTCTATCCACCGAGCCATCTCAGTCCTTGAGTGTTTTGTTGTGGTGTATTTTGGTGACGTAGGACCATAGAATCCCTGCAAATGCACTATGACTAGCCCTTCAGCTCGTCTTCTGAGCCAGTAACCTTTGTTGTATTGGGAGAACATAGCATCATGCTTTGGAAACAGGTACTGAGAGATCTGTAAGAAAAGGCCTGGAGCCAAGTGGTGGTGACACACGCCTTTAATCCCAACACTCAGGCAGAAGCGGGCGGATCTCTGTGAGTTTGAGGCCAGCCTGGTCTGCAGAGAGTTCCAGGATAAGCTCCAAAGCTACACAGAGAAACCCTGTCTCAAAACCAAAAAAACAAAAACAAAACAGAAAAGGTTTGGCACTGTGACATGCCCCGAAGAGGCCACTAGCCAAGCCTAGGAAGTTGTGGAAGGAGGCCGAAGGGGCATTGGTAGGCTTGGTAAAAACAAAGGGGGAGCACTGTGGAGATGTCTGCTCTCTTATTTTAGGGGCTTCTCAGTTCCCAGCTTTGGTTTCTCAGTAGAGGGGATCCAGTTGCTGTTGCTCATGGTGGCTGTAAGAATCACCGTGAGAAGCTGCTCAGGGTTGCGCACGTAGAAGGTGTTCAATAAATGCAGACAGGCCTAGAGAGCGGCTCAGGGGTTAAGAGCACTGGCTGTTCTTCCAGAAGACCAAGGTTCAATTCCCAGCACCCACATGGCAGCTCACAACTGTCTGTAACTCGTCTCAGGGGGTCTGATTCTTTTGGCCTCCAGGAGCACCAGGATTGCATGTGGCATAGACACACAGGCAAGCAGAACACCCACCATACACAGAGTACAAGTAAAGGCTGAAATGCTTTCCTTTGCCATGCCCCAGTGGATATCAGAGTTTCTCCAGTCCCAGCCTCTTTGTCATCAAGAGCCTACACTATTCCTGACATGTCCCTGTAGACTCAGGGATCAGGGGAGTGATGGAGATACTTGGCCTTCGCCTCCCTGAATCCTAATTGCAGCTGTGGCTCCAGATGTGGATTATAGTGTTAGGGATGGTGCCAGGGCTTTGTGCATGTTGGGATAGCACCCTACCATCTGAGCTCCAGCCTCATTCTGTAGCCTCGGCTAGCCTGCTACTCGTTCATGATCTCCTGGGCTCAGCCTCCACAGTGCTAAGTATCTAGTGGAGTAGGATCTTGGAGGAAACTTCCTCTCGGCCTATCACAAATGATGACAGCTCAGTTGAGTCCTGACTAGTGATTAGGTCATAGGGCACAGATGATGGCAGGTCTGAATCTTGCAGAGCTGGAACACAGTGTAGTTGTGTGAAATGCAACCTAGACAACAGGTGGTGATGTGGAGGATCCCAACACACAAGAGACCCTTTTAAGGAGCTATGTCTTGAAAGGCTTGGGAGCCACATAAAGTTGGGCGTGTTCAGAGGCAGAAGGATCGCCAGCCTGGGCTAAAAGACTGTCTCATTAAAAGCAAAAAACTGCCATTCATACACCTGTAATCCCTGCACTCAGGAGGTGGGGGCAAGTGGATCATAGTGTCAAGGCTAGCCTCTACTACCTAGTGAGTTTGAGGCCAGCCTGGCCTTCATGAAACCCTTTCTCATAATACTAAACAGTAGGCTGGTGAGGCATGCTGGCGTTGGCATGGGGAAGCTGAGTTCCTGTAAGGATGCAGGTGCTGCTGTCCTTAGGCCTGGCCTTCCCTTGCAGAAATGCTTTGGAGATGCCTTCTATGGTACTGCAGAGGAAGAGAAGCCACAGTTTGAGGAAGAGGAAGGGCTTGAAGGTGGGTGTCCTTAGAAAGCAGGGGCACTAGGGCTCGGCTTGCAGCCTACGTGCAGTCCTCACTTTGTCCTCTGTGGAAGCAGATGACTGGAACTGGGACACATGGGGTGGACCTGAACAAGATGGAGCCTGGAGCCAGCAGGAGCTGCACTGTGAGGACCCTGACTTTAACGTGAGTGCCACTGGGCTGAGCTCCAAGTAGGGTGCAGTTGGCAGAGCAGAAGCTTTCCATGAACAAAGCCCTGTCTGAGAGGCGGAGCTCAAGGCTTGGCTGCATAGCATGTTTGAGGCCAGCATGGGTTGTGAGACCTTAAGAACAATGAGTGTCCCTGGTAGGGGTCTGGAGCCTCCCAGAGGGCATTTAGAACTGGCCTGATCTAACCAGCGCTTCCTGATAGATGGACGCTGACTATGACCCCAGCCAACCTCGGAAGAAGCTTCGTGAGGCCCCCTCCTCAGGCAAGAAGAAGCGCAAGTCTCCCTTTGCAGCTGCAGTGGGGCAGCAGAAACCCACGTTTGACCCTGGTGAGACACAAGGCATGATGGGTAGTGTGGGAGCATGGCTCACAGGGCCTTGAACACTCAATGCCTTGGCTGTGTATTGTCCCGTGCGCAGGGGACAAGACCTTTGAGGAATACCTGGACGAGTACTACCGGCTGGACTATGAGGACATCATCGATGACCTGCCCTGTCGCTTCAAGTACCGTACTGTGGTGCCCTGCGACTTTGGGCTCAGCACTGAGGAGGTTAGGACCAGGGCAGGCAGGAGAAATAGAGGAGTCCAGAGAATGGAAGGAGGTGAACATTCTCTGTGGAGAGGCAAGGTCTGAACTTGAACCAAGAGGAGTTGAAATAGTGCTGATGTAGGCCAGCACGAGAGAAGCTGAGGTGGGTAGGGCACTACTGTGAATTACAAGCTAGCCTGACCTATACAGTGACTTTCAAAAATAGAGCCAGCATGGTGGTACAAACAGGAGAATCGGGAAATCCAAGCCCGCTGGGGCTACACAAGACCCTGTCTGAAAATCAGGGAAAACACTGAGCTCAGTTGACATCCCCACTGAGTGAGTGAGGCTCAAGAGGCAGACCCCAGGGCCCCCACAGTAGACACTTTCTTTCCCATGCAGATCCTTGCAGCTGATGACAAGGAGCTGAACCGCTGGTGTTCCCTGAAGAAGACCTGCATGTACAGGTGACAGCAGGGTGGTGGGGGTGGGGGGACCCAGTTCAGACAGTTTCTGGAACACCTCTGACACACAGGTCAGAGCAGGAAGAGATGCAGGAGAAGCGGGTGTACAGCCAGAAGGCCCAGAACTTGTGGAAGAAGAGGCAGATCTTCAAATCTCTGTGCCGGGAAGAGTAAGCACTGGGCCCTGGGGAGGATGGCAGCAGCCCGGCTAGCAGACACCCAGCCATGTCCTCTTTAGACCAGGCACTGTCCCTCTCAGTAAGGAGACTTTATGGTTCAGACTGAGTTCATGCATGAAACACTCAGAATAAGGATCAGAGGACTTGGACCCACACCTGTAATCCCAGCACTAGAGAGGCAGAGGCAGGGTTTGAGTTGAATAAATTTGAAGCCACCCTGAATCCACAGCAACAGCCTGTCATTATGGAGTGAAGACTGTGTACCAGACGCTCCCTATATAGACCAGGATGGTCTCAAACTCTGAGATCTCCCTCTGCCTCACAAGTGCTGGGATTGAAGGTGTACACCATCACACCTGGTGAGGTGGTTTAGCATGATTGAAGTCCTGAGTTTCATCCAAAGCCTGAACAAAATAAATTCTTAGAAGCACCTCACAGGCTTGTTAGCTGTTACAAGGATGATTGCCATTCCTTCCCCAACTCAGGTGAGACAGATAGCCTTTTTTTTTTTTTTTTTTTTTTGGTTTTTCAATACAGGGTTTCTCTGTGTAGCTTTGCACCTTTCCTGGAACTCACTCTATAGATCAGGCTGGCCTCGAACGCACAGAGATCCGCCTGCCTGGGCCTCCCGAGTGCTGGGACTAAAGGTGTGCGCCACCCCCCGCCTGGCGGCAAGACAGATAACTCTTAACTGCACTGAAGTTACAAGGAGCTGACTGACACAAAGGGCTTTGGCTGGTCCAGCTAATCTGTGGCTGTCATATTTATGACAGTTGTCTCAGGAAGCTGAGGCCATCTGGGTTCCACAACGAGACTCTATCTTAACAAAACAGGCTGGGGCTGGGCAGGGTGCTTACCTGACACATACAGAGCCCTGGGTTCTATCTCAGCACTGTACAAACCAGATGGATCTGAGTTCAAGGTCAGTGTGGTCTACAGTGAGCTTAGGGACAGCCAGAGCTATATTAGTGAGACCCTCTCAACACCTCACTCCCCTAAAAAAAGCAGGATCAAAAGTTAAAGGGTAGTTGGGTGGTGGTGGTGCACACCTTTAATCCCAGCACTCGGGAGGCAGAGGCAGGCAGATCTCTGAGTTTGAGGCCAGTCTGGGCTACAGAGTGAGATCCAGGATAGGCTCCAAAACTACACAGAGAAACCCTGTCTCAAAAATAAACAAGCAAACAAAAAAGTTAAAGGGCATCTTTGGGTACACAGAGTTTGAGGGTAGCCTGGGCTACACAATACCCTCCTCAAACAAACAAAAAAGAACGAAAGAAAAATGGGGGATCACTGCCTGTTCTGAACAGCAAGCTGACCTGAACTTTGACTTTTTCTCTTGTAGGATGGAAATGCCCACAGAAGCCACAGGGAAGTCCCAGGGCAAGGCCAGCCCACAGGCACAGCTGACCGTGGCTGATGGGTCTCAGACTCTGGCCTCTTCCCACAAGCTCCAAGTAGCCAAGGAAGAAGAGTTCACACACACACCCTGCCCAGAGAAGCCGGCTTCCCAGAGGCAGAACAAGAAGGCCAGGCTGTTGGGTCCCACGGTGACACTTGGAGGTCACAAGTTCAGCCGACAGAGATTGCAGGCCTTTGGTCTCAACCCAAAAAGGCTGCATTTCCGACAGTTGGGCCGCCAGAGGAGGAAACAGCAGAGCCACCCCTGAGGGCCAAGGGAGCAGGCTACCTCTACAACCAAGCTGTTGACTAGGTACCTCCCCCAACCTGTGTAATCTGCCTGTAGGCAAGCACTCTTCTCAGTGTGGAAACAGGCTGTCCGAACTGTGTATAAAACAGCCTGAAAAGTCAAGCAACCCCAGCGTGTTCAAGTCTGCATCTTTATCAGCCTCCACCCAGCAGCCAGTCGGTTCTCCCAGGACAGGGGCTTTGGGACCTTGGGACCAGTGAGTACAGTGATCCAGTGCAGGCTACAGAACTTGAATCAGGCCCTGAGTGAGTGCCCTGGAGCCCACTCTCCATCCCTGGCTCCTGAGGGGGCATGGGGGCAGCTAAAGGGCACAGCCCCAAGCTGGGGGCCTAGACAGATGTCAGCTGTGTTGGGGAGGATGGGGGACATGAGGACAGGGGATCCAGCACTGCTATCGGAGTTCTAGATCCCATACCTGACATGACATAAATAAAAAAATAAATAGTCTGACATCTTTCCCCATCCCTTCCCACTATAAAAACACAAAGTCCTCGGAGCTGGGCCGTTTGGCCTTCAGGAGGCGTCCTGTGCAAGGCAGCCGCAGTGTGGGCTGGGAGAGCTGGGTGCAGAGGGCATCCAGGCTGTGGTCCTGAGCGTGGCCCTCAGCCACAGTAAACATGGGGTATCGCTCTGTGGCTGAGGAGGAGCTGAGGATCTGCAGAAGGATGAAGGAGAGTAGTCTCAGTTCAGGGTCTTCTGGAACCAGCTGAGCAGTTGGACAATGCACAACTAATTGTCCAGCCTGTGAACAGCTGCCCTGGAACTTGTGATGAGCTCTCCCAAGTACCACACCCCCCAGCAGTGGCCCAAGCCTTTTCAGGTGCCCTTCACTTTGCTCTCATCTGTTCCGGGCTGAGCTTCCTGGACTGAAGAAGTCTGTCCACCTTGATGTCCGCTGCCATTGTCAAGCATGTGCACTGTGTTACTGTCCTAGGACTAAGTGTGGGACCCAGTGTCTGTCTAGCACATGGTAGGCAAGGGCTCTACCACTAAGATATACAGGCCCACCTACCACCCGCCCCCAGGGATTACAGCTCACCCTCATCAGCTCCGAGCAGAGAGTCTCAAACTCCTTCCTGTTCCCGGCGTAGAACCCTACGGTACAGCTGGGGTCCATCTTGGCAAAGGCCATCTTGCGGGGCGAGGTGCAGTGAAAGGACTGGGCAGATAAGAGAGGTTTGAGGTACCCCAATTTTGTGCCTGTGCCTGCAGCTCCCACCCAAAGCCAGCAGCTCACCTCAAGGGGAAAGTCGGCCTGGCTGACATCCACTGTGGGCTGGCAGTAGTGGGGATCCAAGTAGAGCAGGAAGTCATCTGTGGGGGGGTTGGGGCAGGGGCAAGTGTAAACTAGGGTGGGTAAGAGGAAGGCGGAGGGCTGTGACCCAGGAAAGGGGCTATGGCTTACCCTGGTAGCCAATGAAGTACAGTGAATGCCGGGGTTTGCCCCCCATGATGCCTAGGCAGAGTTCTGACCGAAGGAGCTCCTGTAGAGACGAGAAAGCTGGCATCAGATGGGCTCAACAAACAGCAGGTCTGAGAGAGTCTGTGAAGCCAGGGGACCAACTGAGCAGCCATCCTGCTAACCAACCCAGCCTGACAGCACTGAAATTCTAGAGCAGAAACCTGACTGTCAGATGGGAAGACTATAGAAATGGCTGCATACCTTCTTAAGAGATTTTGTTTTTTTGTTTTTTGAGAGGGTCTCATTATGTGGTCCTCCCTATCCTGGAACTCACTCTGTAGCCCAGGCTGGTCTCAAACTCCGATATCTACCTGCCTCTGCCTCCCAAGTGCTGGAATTAAAGAATGAAACTGTGTATTTGTGTATCTGTGTGTGAGTGTGTGCACCTGAGTGCAGTGTATGAAAGGGGGTGTCAGATCCCTGGTGTTTTATAGGCAGTTGTGAGCAGCTCATGTGTGCTATGAATCAAACCCTGGTCCTTTCCAAGAGCAGTGTTCCCTCCTACCCATTGAACCACCTCTAACCCAGTGGTTCTCACCTTCCTAACGCTGCGACCCTTTAATACAGTCCTCATGTTTTTCCTCCAACCACAGAATTATTTTCATTGCTGCTTCATAACTGTCATTTTGCTACTGTTATGCATTGTTAGGTAAATATCTGTGACTTCTGATGGTCTTAGGCCACCCCTGTGACAACCTCAAGGGGTCTAGACCCACAAGTTGAGAACCACTGCTCTTAACCACTTTTTTACCTGTTTTTGTTTTTTGTTTTCTTTCTAAGTTAGGCTCTCACTCTATAGACCAGGCTGGCCTTGAACTCACAGAGATCTTCCTGCCTCTACCTCCCGAGTGCTGGGATTAAAGGCGTCCTCCATTATGCCAGCACTTTTTTTTTTTTTAAAGAAAAGACTCTGATTATAGCCAAGGCTTGCCAGAAACTTCTGATCCTCCTTGTATCCACTACACTACAGTGCCAGGAGTGTGCCAAGACGACTGATGTTTGAGTCAGTCTCCCTAAGTAGCCCAGGCTGGCCTTTAGCACTACATTTTCCTGCCCCAACCTCCAGGATTACTGGAGTACATGCCACACCCAGTTTTATGAATTATTTTGGCACTGGGGAAAGAAGTCTGGCCTTGCACAGGCTACAAAAGTACGTGACACAGCCCCACACACCACTACACAGCCAGAACTTTAAGTTTTAACAAGGCAAAGGCCTCGTGGAGACGTCTCAGCAAGGAGCCCGCAGGGGTGGGCCTGTGGGGGGGGGGGTCCCCATGAGGGCAGAGGAGTGAAGGTGACAGTGTCTTCCTCTTACAGGGAGAAGTCGGTCTCCATCTGGGCACAAACATGCCAGGGCTTTCCGCTGAACCTGCCCCTTCCCTGAGACACTTCTCTAGCTCCTCCTCAGCCTTCTAGAAGGCTGAGGAGGAGCTTTCCTCCGGCTCCACTGCAACCACCCCCCTGCCCCTTAAGTCCAGATGGAAGTGCCAATCACGCCAGGGTTTCTCCATGCAGCCCTGGCTGTCCTGGAACTCAGAGAGATCCCCCTGCCTCTGCCTCCCGAGTACTGGGATTAAATTTTGTTGACGGGGCCTCACTGCCCAGGCTGGCCTCAAACTTGCTGTGTAACTGAGTTTGGCCTTGGAGTCTAGATCCTCCTGCCTCAGCCTCTTAAAGTGCTTGGACAGGAGGATGTGTCTGTTTTTAATAAGAAAATATATTCAAGTGCTGGGATTACACTTAAGTGTGAATGCAACCTGGCACAGAGCTCCACCTTGAGCTCCTTCCCCAGTCTTCCAGAACATTCCAGCTTGTTCTCAAACAGAGAACTACCCCTCTACCCAACATCAGCTCATTTCACGGTGTTTGGACCCCCGCCTCCAGGATAGGAAATGGATCTGGCAGCTGTTTAACTAGTGGGTAGCGCTGAGTATGAGGACCTGTGTTCAATCCCCAGAACCTGTGTCAAAAGCATGGCAGCATGTGACTATAACGGTCTCAGAAAACAAGAGGGGTGCTGGGGAGATGGCTCAAAGGATAAAACCACCTGCTCACCAACCACAGGGACATGAGTTCAAAACATCAGGACCTAGGGAAAAGGCTGGGCACGGCCATACATGCCTCTAACCAGTACCGTGGGGGCAGAAATGGGGTATCACTGGGGATGCTGGCTGCCACCCCAGCTCCAAGGCTGTCACAAAGGAATAAAGCAGAGTGACAGAACAGAAATCCTGTGTCTCCCATCACTTCCACGTGTGCACACTCGTGTATGCACCACATACACATACATAGACAGAGAACACACACAGATAAAGCAGAAAGGTCCCAAGAATGACACCCATGGCTGACCCCCAACTGTTAAGTATGGAAGGACCCCGGCAGAGGTGCCCCCCCAAGAGGCGCTTACCTTCACACAGGGCACATACACGGGGTTGAGGGTCTCCCCACCCAGGCGCACAGGTACCAGGATGACCACAGACTTCCACTCAGCCATGGGGTCTGGCCGGGACACCAGGCGTGCCACATCCTCCTTGTACACTGTGGGGACAGGGCGGCGGCAGCAGGTCACTTTCTACCAGCCTTCTACCCCCAGCAGCACATCCCACTTGCAGCTCCTGAGGAGCAATGCTGTCATCAGCAGAGGATGTCTTCCCAGTGCACCAAGTCCTGGACAATCCTGGGGACTCCTGAGGAGTTCACGTGTCCCAGGCTGGCCTAGAACTCTCAAACAGCCAGATGACTGTGAGGCCTGATCACCCTGCTTCTAGCTCTCAAGTGCTGAGATTGCAGGTGTGTGCTACCATACTTGGCTTGCACAGTGTCCGGCATGAAACCCAGGGCTTTACGCATGCCAGAGAACTGCTCTACCAGCTGAGACAGAACCCCAATAATGCAGGGATTCTGAGTGCTTCTTGTGCTGGTGATGAATTTCAGAGCTTTGTGTGAGAGTGTAAACGCTTTACTATTAAATTATATCCCAGCCCCCACCCAGCCCCTATATGTGTGTGTATGTGTGTGTGTGTGTACATGCCTGTGGGGGACACTTGAGGTCAGAGGGCAATCTTGAGTATTGTCCCCCAGAACACCTCACCTTGGTTTTTGTTTTTTTGTTTTTGGTTTTTCGAGACAGGGTTTCTCTGTGTAGCTTCGCGCCTTTCCTGGAACTCACTCTGTAGACCAGGCTGGCCTCGAACTCACAGAGATCCGCCTGGCTCTGCCTCCCAAGTGCTGGGATTAAAGGCGTGCGCCACCACTGCCCGGCCCCACCTTGGTCCTTGAGGCTTAGGACTTAGGTTAGGCTGGCTACTAGAGAACCCCAGAGACTATCCCGTCTGCACTACTACCATGCCTAGATTCTGGTGATGGAACTCAGTTCTTGAGAACAACCAAGCTACCTGCTCACTCCACACAGAGGCACCCCCACCACCACTTTTTTGTTTTTTGTTTTTTTTTTTTTTGAGACAACGTCTCTCTGTGTAGCCCTAGCTGTCCTGGAACTCACTCTGTAGACCAGGCTGTCCTGGAACTCACTCTGTAGACCAGGCTGTCCTGGAACTCACAGAGATCCACCTCTCTAAAAGAGTGGAACACCACTGCCAGTGCCCTTTTACTCTGAGACCGAGTCTTACTATGTAGCCCTGTTTTTCCTGGAACTCATATGTAGATCAGGCTGGCCTAGAACTCACAAAGATCTGCCTGCCTCTGCCTCCAATGCTAGGATTAAAGGTGTGTGCCACCACTCCTGTCCCAAAAGGCCCCTTTTAAACTGCAATCCTCTACATGCAGGAGGGTCTGGAGGTCAAGGTTATTCCCACAATTCTTACATAACAGCTTTGAGACCAGCTTGGGTTACAAGAGACCTTATCACAACATAAACAAAGCTACCCAAGTACAACCCGCTGACAATCGGGAAGAAGGCAATAGCTAACCTTTGGTCAATCTGCTGGGAGCACTGTTTTATTTATTTGGATGTGTCAGCTCTCGCCTTCAACCTTGGGGTTCAGGAATCCAATCTACTTCTCAGGCTCAGCAGCAAAACCCTTTGCCAAACGAGCCTTTATCTGTCCGCCCTTTTGTAAAGGCATTGACTGTGTGTCTGTGTGGACCCGTGCTGGGAGTGAACACGCCACAGCACACGCGGGGTCAGAGGACAGCTTCGTCGCCAGCCACAGGGTTCAGACTCGAGCTGCCAGCCTTTCCAGTGCCTTCACTCACAGAGCCATCTTGCCAACCCAGGATTTTTTGGACCACTGAGTCACTAACCTCTGGCACCTGATGGGCCTGAGGAGCCCAGACTTGCCAGCACACCAGAATAGTTTCATAAAGTTAAGAGTGAGCAGGGCTGATGGGATGGTCCCGCTGCCAAGATGATGACCCAAGTCTGATGTCTGGAACCCACAGAATACCCACTCCCCCGCAATGTCACGCACACCGTGACACAGGTTTCCAAACACACAAAAAATAACTGGAGATTGTTCAAAGTGAGACAGGCATGAAGGAGGGTGAAGGGGAGCTCCTGTCTTGACTCCTTCATTCTGACCTGTTCTAGGTTCTGCAGGAGAGGGAACCCTGACTGCACCTCCACAGGTGTGGAATCGATATCAGCATCCCTCCACCCCGGAACTTGCGTCAGCCCCTGAGCAATGAGGGCCTGGGCAGCGCTGGGTCCAGGTGCAGCTTGCTCCCGGCCTCACCTGTGCAGTCCTGAGAGACGTACACCACCAGGCGGGTGACCTCCGAGCAACTCTCCACAGCTTTCCTGAGGGCAGGGAAGCAGACAGGCTTGAGTCCCTGGGGTCACGAGAAGCTCCCACCTGCCCTGCAAAGGGTCTCACCTGAGGATGTGTGCCACCACAGAGGGCCCGTACCAGTCTCCCGCCTTCTTGCCAGAGCTCTGCCCAAGCTCCACTAGCCGATGTAGCCCAAAGGGGGCCTGCGGATGGTCAGCAAACCAGGACACAATCCGCCGGTGCCAACGATCCTGCTCCATATCCAGTGTACCCTGGGTCCATCGTGAGGGCACACGACGACCAGGCCCACGGTAGCGGCTGGGAGAGGCTGGCCCTGACATCTCAGGGGGAGCTAGGCCTGTGCCCTCCATCCACCTCCAGTCTGCAGAAGAGATGAAATTTGTAGTTAAGACATGTGGTGTGTTTGGGGGACAACTTTCCTACTTCCTCTTATTTGACACATAATTCTAATACTCATGTGAATTCCAAATTGACCTACCATTTTGAAACACATATAAAACTCATTTTTTTTTTTTTTTTTTTGAGCTGAGGACTGAACCCAGGGCCTTGTGCTTGCTAGGCAAGTGCTCTACCACTGAGCTAAATCCCCAACCTAAACTCATTTTTTTCAATAAAAATTTATTTATTTTTAGCCTATGTGCAGAAGTGTTTTGCCTCCAAGTATTTAAGACCTCTTCGAGAGCCTGGTATCAAAAAGACGAGAAGAGGGTGTGAGATCCCAGAAACTAGTTACCTATGGGTGTGAGGTTATCACGTGGGTGCTAGGAATCGAACCTGAGTCCTCTGCAAGAGCAGCAAATGGTCTTAACAGCTGAGCCATCTTTAATTATTTATTTATTTTGGTTTTTCAAGACAAGGTTTCTCTGTGTAGCCCTGGCTGTCCTGGAACTCACTCCGTAGACCAGGCTAACCTCAAACTCCCAGAGATCCCCCTGCCTCTGCCTGCTGAGTGCTGGGGTTAAAGGCGTGGTGGAACACGCCTCCTTAATTATGTCTCTAATTTTTTGAGACAGATTCTCATGTAGCCCAGGGAACCAACCTTACACTTCTGTCCCCAGGCTCTAGCTCCACACCTGACTGAAGTCTCATTTTACATACATACATACATACATTACACACACACACACACACACACACACACACACACACACACACACACACTTACTTATCCCTGACTAGCCTGAAACTCACTATGTACCCAGACTGGATACTGCAGCTCAAAATCCTGCCTCATGTGCTGGGATTCCAATGCACTGTTCAACTTCTCAGTTTGAAAGCAATTTTAAAGTGCTGACTCAAAAGCCTGGCACTATTCCTACAGCCTGCACACACACACACACACACACACACACACACACACACACACACACGTGCGCACGCACACATACCCAACTCACCTCTAGGCAGAAAATGCAGGAGCAGGCCCTGGGCCAGCATCATCTGACCACTTCGTAACATGCATCCCCAGCCACAGTCTGAGGTCAAGCTGCCCCCAGCTAGGGGTGGGAAGTCCCGGCGATATGTGAGCCATAGTCGAGATACAAAGTCTCTTTGAAACCGCTGGATGTCACCTATGAGAGCCAACTAGTCAGCTTGCCAACCAAGGAGAACCCTGAGACTCCCCAACCCTAGTCCCAGATTAGACATCTTACCCTCTCCCTCGAAATGGTAGCGTCGCCCACAGAGGTGAACACTGGAGAGCTTGCTGAAGCTGGTCCGGCTTTTAACTGCCCAACCTGAGGAGACACGGAGCAGCTCCCAGCAACTTAAAGCACTCAAGTATCAGCAATGGGCCTTCCATTCCCCAACGGTGAAATGGGCCTGGTCCTAGCTGGGATCTCAGGGGCAGCTGTGCAAAATCCATGCCACATCTGTCTAAAACACACGTGGTGCTTAGTTACACCTTCATAAGGGTCCACCATTGACTCAGGGGATCGGGACCATTCTATTCTGACTGTTAATTTTTGTTGTAAAATGTGTAAAGTACATTTCATTTTTGTGTGTGAGCCTGTGTATGTGTGGCCAAGTGCCACACCTTAGGTCTGGAGAGTAGATAATTTGTAGGAGTTGGTTCTCTCCTTCCACCATGTGGGTCCAGGATAGACCTGAAGTCCTGAGGCTTGGCGGCAAATGCCTTTAAGCACTGATGCATCTCACTGGCCCTTTTCTGATTTTTTTTTAAAACGTGCTTTGGTGTTTTGCCTGCATGTATGGCTGTGTGAGGGTGTTGGATCCCAGGAACTGGAGTTACAGACAGTTGTGAGCTGCCATGTGGGTGCTGGTAAGTGAACCCTGTCATCTGGAAGAGCAGTTAGGCCTCTCTTAACCTCTGAACCAACTCTCCAGCCCTCCGTTTCCCGATTTTTTTTGAGGCAGAGTCTCATGAGGAGCTCAAGTCAGCCCGGAACTCATTATGTAGCCCATGCTAGCCTAAAACTCTTGGTAATCCTCCTGCCTCAGCCTCCCCAGTGCTGGGATTACAGGCGTGAACCACACCACCTGCTAGCTCTGTTCTTACTATTGCACCTATTTTAGAAGGGGAGTAAACAGACCGCAAGAAAGGGACGAAATCTGGCCAAGGTCAAACAGGAGCAATGGGCGGGGCTTGAAAAGGATTCCTATCCAACCTGTCCCAGGTCCCCGACTGAGCAGGGAGGAGGACCTGCCGGTGACTCCCTCAGGTGGGATCATCCGCAGGACAGGGTTTGGTTTGCTTCGCTCTGACCCCTCTGACACCCACCTCTGCACCCCCTCCTCACCATACTTGACGTTGTTCCAGGCTGTCAGGAACTTGGCTTTGAACTTGTCCACCTCGTCAGGCTCGGCGGGGTCGGTCCCAGATGATCCTAGAGCTGCCCCGCCCGACCCCGAAGGTCCCAGGCTGTTGGGATCCGGGATCCGGGTTTGTCCCCTCGGCCGGCGACCCTCGGGCCGGCGCGCGTCCTCCGGGCTCCCGCTGCGGTACTGCGCCGCGGCCGGCGACACCGAGTTCATGGACGCGCCGGGGAGGAAGGACGCAGGTGTCCCCCGAGGTCAGGGGAAATGCGAACCCTCGAGCGCAGCCCCGTGGCCAGAACAGCGCTACTCGGTACCCGGCGCCGAGCTCCCGGGCCCGGCTCCGGCCGCCGCAGGTACCCGGGATTCTATAACCAGCGCCATCTTGGCGGCCCAGCGCACCCGGATACGGGTGGGCGTGGCCTGCTTTCTGGCCACGCCCTGCACTTTCCCTCCTCCCTTGGACTCTCCACACCCACCTTATCTCACCGCGCAGGCGCGAGGCGAGCCCCTGCAGGCTCTTATCTGTTGTCAGAGCCTGGGAAGTCACGTACTTTGCCACACCCCCGGTACGTCCCCTCCTGAACCCTTGCTGACTCTGGTTTTGACCTCAGGCTGCGGACATCGGGCTTTTTCTCGCTCCAGAGCGAGATTTCCCGCCCAGCCACTCAAATTCCGCTGCAGCGGAGGTCACATCTTCTGGGTGAGACACCTGGGGCTTCTCATGTTTCTGGAGGGCTCGAATATATACGCGCAACTTGCTGGAGTCTCCTCTGTCCTTCCATCCTGAGGGTTGGGAGGATCCAACTCAGGTTCCCGGTCTGGGCAGTAAGCATCTTTACCCGCTGAGACATTTGAAGGCCCTTTTCTAGTGTTTTGAAACACTTAGACATCTCTGGCTTGAGGAGAGCAAGTTCCGTGTATTCAAGCCATCCATAGGCATGACCACCCCAGGTGTCACACCCAGAAGATGTGGCCCCAGCTGCAGAGAAATTTGAGTGGTCGGGCAGAGAACCCACTGTGTAGGCTAAGCTGGCCCCCAACTCTTGGCTGTCCTCTGCCTCAGCCTCCCAAGTGCTCGGCGACTCAAAGCCTGAGCTTGCTGTGGGGTGGCTGAGCTGGTAGAGGGTCTTCCCCACAATAATGAGGCCCTGTGTTCTATTCCTGGAACCCCATTAACTGGGTGTGGTGGTGCATACCTGAAGTCCCACCACTCAGGAGGTGGAGGCAGGAGCAGATGCTCCTCCTCCACTGTGCAGAGAGTTTGAGGCCAGCCTGGCTTCATGAGAACAAAAGAGCTTGTTGGACATCACTCTAGAGTTTATCAACCCAGAACAGATACCACCCCTGGGGATGTGACCCCATCCTTGGCCCCAGTCCCTGCAAGTCATGATTCTCTGTCCCTCAGTTTCCTCCTGTGCAAAATGTGGAGTATCTGTAAGAGTATAAAAGAAAACTAGTTTTGGTATTTTGAGACAGGATCTCATATAGTCCAGGCTGGCCTTGAACTTCCTAGCTATGTAGCCGAGGATTGCATTGAATTTGCTTATTTAGTTAGTTTATTACATTTATTTGTCTGTCTCATCCTTGTGTGCACATCCTTGCCACAGCAATTGTCGGGAGACGACTCTCAAAAGTCAGTTTTCTCCTAAGGACCGAACTCAGGCCACCAAGCCTGGCAGCAGATACCTTTACCTGCTGCTCTGTGCTGAATTTATGACCCTCCTGTCTGCACCTCCAGAGTGCTGGGATTACAGGCATATATGGTCATGCCTGGCCCTAACTGAATCTTCATACAACTGATGGATGTCCAAGAAAAGAAACCAGATGGAGGGTGGGGGGACAGAAAAGAAACTGTCTTTTTATATAAAATAGAAGAGGGTGCAACCTGGTTTAGAGTTGGATGAGGGGGAAGAGGAAAGGAGGCTAGATCAGCAGGGAGGGAATGTAGATAAAGGGTAGAGCACTGGTTTAGCATGCATGGGGCCCTCCTTCAATCCCCAGCACTGTGAAAGAGAAAAGAAAGGCCCCAGGAATCTTTGTTGAGGTGGGTATGTCAGAACTTTGTGTCCACGTTTCCCTAACAGGAAAGCATATCAGATTGCCACATAAAGCTGGAGGTGTGGCTTGGTTGGTAGAGTGCCTACTTGGCATGCACAAAGTGTGGATTCAATCCCTAGCACCACATAAACCGTGTGTATCAGGCATTTGGGAGATGTAGTCAGGAATTCAAGGCCGACCTGGACTACATATATAGCAAGTTTGAGGCCGGGGAGGTGGGGGGGCATCTCTCATAGTGACACATGCATTTGATTCCAGCACTCAGGAGGCAAAAGCAGGGGGATCTCTGTGAGTTTCAATACCAGCCTGATCTACATAGGAAGTTTCACACTAGCCAGAATATATGGTGAGACCCTGTATCAAAAAAAAAAAAAAAAATCCAGGCAGTGGTGGCACACACCTATAATCCCAGCACCTGGGTGGCAGAGGCAGGAGAATCTCTGTTGCAGAACATTTAACTATGTAAAGATGTGTTGCTATTTTACCTTGCCTGCCTAAGGTACTTGATTGGTCTAATAAAAAAACTGAACGCCCAATAGCAAGGAAGGAAGTATAGGCAGGACTTCCAGGCAGGGAGAATAAGTAGGAGGAGGAGTTCAAGAGAGAGGAAAAAAGAGAGAGAAAGAAAAAACAACAACAGGGCGACGACAGGGGCTGGACAGACAGACGTGGAGGGCCCAGAAAAGTTGGACATACAGAATGAAAGAAAGGTAAAAAGCCCCAAGGAAAATGTAGATGAATAGAAACAGGTTAAATTAAGTTAAAAGAGCTGGTGGGACAAACCTAAGCTAAGGCCAAGCATTCATAGTTAATAAGTCTCCATGTCTTTATTTGAGAGCTGGTTGGCAGCCCAAAGAAAATGCCAACTACAGATCTCTGTGAGTTTGAGGCCAGCCTGGTCTACAGAGCGAGTTCCAGGACAGCCAGTGCTACACAGAGAAACCCTGTCTCGAAAAAACAAACAAATACAAGAAAAACAAAACCCAACAATAAAAACAAAAACAACAATCAATCAAAATGGCTGCAACAGGGGGCTTTTACATATCTGTGTGTACAGGCGCTTGTGCTTGCTGCTAAGACTGATGACCTGAGTTTGACCCCCAGGACCCACATGGTAGAAGGAGAAAACCAACTCCCAAAAGATGTCCTCTGCTCCTCCAAATGAATGCTGTAATATGCTAGTACACACGTGCACACACACAAACACACAATAAATAAATTAATTAATTAATAAATAAATTAATAAATAAAGATGTAAAAAGAGAGGACTTTATTACATTTCTGCAGCAGGCTACATTCCCAGCCTTCTTCCTCATTTTATAATGGCATTAATTCAGCTGGGTGTGGTGGTTCAAGCCTGCCATTCTAGCATTCAGGAGGCTGACACAAGGGAGCTGCTGTGAGCTGAAAACTAGCCTTGTGACTTTGAGGCTAGCCTGCGCTTCACAAGGAAACCCTGACTCAAACAACAGAAAGAGTTCCTGCCACTCTCCGCCATTTTGAGTGGTGCACCAATGATACACATCTGGATTTCCTGATTGAAATGTGTTGCAAGAGCAACGGGGGTTCAGCAAAAAGTGTGCCTCTAATCTCGAACTTTGACCTTTTCCTTGGCTGACAACATTTACCACGCGGCTCTGTTGTAATACTGAGCAGGGGAAGCAAGCCTGGGCACTCAGCCACCCACAGGATGGTGAAGGAAAATAACCAAGATGCCACAGCACACCTGGCATGGAGGGAGTGGGATATGGCATCCAGTACTTTCAGGAGGGTCCTGGACAGTCAAGACTGGCCTCCAACTCACTGTGTGCAGCTAAGGATGGCCTTGAACGTTTTTTAATAGACAAGGATTTAAAAATTATTTATCTTTATATATGTGAATGCCAGCCAGTATGTGTGTGTGCCTTTTGCTGGCAGAGGTCTTGGATTCCCTGGAGCAGAGTTACAGATGGTTGTGAGCTGAAATGTGGGTACTGGGAATTGAACCCAAGTGCTCTACAGGAGAAGCAGCTTCTCTTAACCACTGAGCCATCTCGTCAGCTTCAACTTTGAATTTCTGGTCCTCCTACCTCTACCTCCTGAGTGCTAGGATGACAAGTATGCACTGCCACACTTAGTGTGTGGGGCCGGGGATGGAATCCAGGGCCTCACACATGCAAGCTCTCCACCCGTGAGCCACATCCCAGCCCTCCAACAGCTGGTGTTCCTGTTTGCTTACATTGTTTTTTTAAAGACTTTTTAAAAGTTTTATGTATCTCTCTGTGTGTGTATGCATGTGTGTGTGTGTGTGTGTGTGTGAGAGAGAGAGAGAGAGAGAGAGAGAGAGAGAATGAATGTGTGTGTGTGTGTGTGTGTGAGAGAGAGAGAGAGAAAGAGAGAGAGGGAGAGAGAGAGAATGAATGTGTGTGTGTGTGTGTGTGTGAGAGAGAGAGAGAGAGAGAGAATGAATGTGTGTGTGTGTGTGTGTGTGTGAGAGAGAGAGAGAGAGAGAGAGAGAGAATGAATGTGTGTGTGTGTGTGTGTGTGTGTGTGTGTGTGTGTGTGTGTGTGTGCACGCCCATGAAAACCAGCTGAGAGTGTTGGATCTCCAGGAGCTGGAATTACAAGCAGTTGTGAGCCACAGGGAACCAAATTCAGGTCCTCTGCAAGAGCTGAGCAACCTCGCCAGCCTGCACCAGCTCTGGAAAAGCTTCCACACCTCTGCAGCCCTTGGTTTCTGAGACAGGGTCTCACTATGTGAGCCTTTCTGGCCCAACACTAGCTGTGTAGCCTAGACTGGCCTGGAACTCTCACAGTAATCCTCCTGCCTCAGGGTCCTGAGTGGTGAGATTACGTGATCACTACCGCACACACTTGGAGAGCATTAGCCTGCCAAGGGTAACGGTTCCATCAAAAACACCAGGAAAGAAAGAAGGAAGAAAGGAAAGAGGAAAAGAAGTTCATCAGGCAGCGTGAGGGCGCAAAGTGACTGTGGCCCCGGAATGGCTCTGTGAGGTGGGCCTCCTCCCAGGGACATTGTGGCATTGGCTCTTAAGTTAGCGAAGTCTCTCTGCCATTTCAAAACTTCTTCCACGACTCCACCCAGTTCCCACACCCTGGGTGAAACATATCTCACCTTGGACTCCCTCCCAATGAGCATTGTTGGCGTAAATGACACAGGCTTAAAGAAGACGTGACTAGCGGAGGGGAGGGAGGTGTTCTCACGGCCTGTCACTTCATATCACCCTCCTCTCACTCCCCCGATGTCTGGAGCCAGACTGCCATGCCTCTCATGTCTGTACAGCATGGGTTCCTGAGGTGAGTCCCTAGTTAAAAGGAGAGAGAAAGCCGGGCGGTGGTGGCGCACGCCTTTAA